CGGCGGATCGACGCCCGCCGCCCCGGGGGCAGGTCGCGGGGCATGCCGCGGGGGCGGAGGGAAGGGCGGCGGGGGCGGGCGGCGCCCCGAGCTCGGCTCGGCTGCCCGCCGTTGCGTTGCGCGCTGCCTCAGCGCCGCCGGCCCGCCGCCATTACCGGCCCGCGCCTCACACGGAGCGGCGGCGGCGGCGGCGAGAGCGGGAGCTGCCGGGCAAATCTCGCGAGAACCGGCCGCCCGGAGACCTCACCAAGATGGCGGCGCCGCGCCGCTCCGCTCGCCTCCCTCCCGGCCTCGCCGCCATCTTATGTGTGGCGCGGCCTGCCCGGCCCGCTCCGCCAGGCCTACCTCAGCCAGGGCTCGGCCTCCCCGCCTCAGGGACGCCGTCGTCCCGCGTCCCCCTCCCGGCTTCTCGCCTCTTTTTTTCCCCGGTGTCGGTGCCTCGGCCCCCGTAGGAGCCTTGTGGCAACGGGAGCAGCGGCAGGGCCGGGTGCCCGGGTTTTGGTGTGAGGCGAGCGCTTCGCAGTGCTTCTGTGCTGCCGCGTTCGCCAAATAACTCCCGTCGAAACTAGAACCCCATCTTTCGGGCGTTTGTATTCACAGCCAAATCATCGTTATAAAAACAGCAACTTTTTTTTTTTTTTTTAAATAAAATGAAAGCAGCTCTGATTACTCCCGGTTTCCAAATTTGAGTTTAAATATTAACAAAAGGTTTGCCAAACTTCACAGAGGTGACTAAGTGCCACAGACCTAATTTCACTTTTAATAGTTATTACATATTACACACCAGGAAGAGTTTGTTAGCATGCTACCTGCTGCTACATATATTCCCCCCCAAAAAGTGCATTAAAACCACCCACATTTCAAAAATAGGTCTAAGATGTTATCCTACTGTAACAAAATAATTTCCACTGAAGAAGGAAAGTCATTAGAATAGGAAAAAAAATAAATTATTCCTACAGGTTATTTTGGGAATGTCTCCTTCAGGGCTTGTCTACAACTCCACCAGACTCTGGTTTTCAATCATTAGTAGGGTTGTTTGATTACAGGTGCCAAATTTCTTGGGGGAGCACGGGGGCGGAGAGTTATCTACCCCAACCCCTAAAGGATAACTAAAATTACTCAAGCTTTTTTTTTTTTTCCCCCTCCCTTAAACTGAAAAGGATTAAATGATTTTTACATAGCCCCTCCTCTTGCAAATGGTGAACATTTTGCATATAAATTATTCCAGTATGGGAACAACATTTGAAAACACCCTAAACACAGAGAGCTTTACAGCTACAAAGCTTAAGCAACTCAAAACTTAATCATGTCACAATTACAGGATACCCATTTAACCTTAATTTGGCTCCTTTACATACACAAACTAATTACAGAGCATGTTTCCCAGAGTAAGCATACCTTCTTTGAAATGAGGCAAGCTTGAGATGTCAGTGGTTAAACCTTTGAAAATTGTTTTTGTTTTTGCCAGGTGAGGGAAAAAAATACGGGAACGCTGAAAGACACACACGGCTCCAGTAGGAAAAAGTGGTAAGTGGTGCCTCGTTCCCCCTGAGTTCTCAAAGAACAAACCTGTGCCTCCCAAATGCAGGAGACAACTGTTAGTTATAATAATAACAATAATTTCAGTCAATGAAGGCAGTATTACTACAGCATATGGGAGCTCTAATCACAGACAAGGGCAAATTAAATTATTGCATTCCCCATCATCACCTAGTGTTTACTTAAATTCAGTGCTAAATATTGCAGGCTTGGCAGCCTTTTTAAATTATTCAGCACTTTTGTAATGCATTGGCTTTTTAATTATGCTTTTAAACATAGCTTCTCTTTTCTGCTTGGAAGCAGTTAATCTAGTTTCAAGCTCCTTTTCATTTTCAGGCAAACAAGGAATCACATTAGGATTTTCTCAAACACGAAAATCATTTTTCAGTCAGTCCAAATTAAAAGGCAATGTTTGACTACTCTGTTTCTGCTTCTATACAGCTTCGGTTCCCTGTATCAGTGGAACTTACTCATAAAACCTTGCATTACTAAAGATTCCTTATCAGTGTGCATAAAGCTCTGACAGGCAGGCCTAACACAAAAAAAAAAAAAAAAAAAAAAAAAAAAAGAGAAATTCTTACGGCAAATGCAGTACTCTTAGGTAATTCTCTAAGATTAGAAATAAGGACACCGTTTACCTGCAAACAGCCACAGCTGAGAGAAAAGGAAGAACTGAACACTCCGGTCCTGATCCAGTTTGATGAACTGCTCGTTAAGCTGTGAAGCAATGGAGATAATGCAGCAAGCACTCCCCATGCACTGGAAGTGGCGGATGGAGACAGATAGTAAGTTAAGGCTAAGGAGCCACAATCTCATCTTACACTAACTTGGCTATTGCAGCTTTAAGAGAGAGGTTTGGAAAGTTTTCCACTCCATATTACTCTTGCACACCCCTTCTAAAATTAGAAAGGGGCAGCTGGCTATTGCAACTGAGAGAGCGAATGGATCCCCCCAGCCTGCCTCCCCCCCTTTCCTTGACTGACACGGCTCCCAAGAGCCATGGAGGAATTTGGGGAAGGGTGCTTCCACCTGTTGAACATGGAATGAGGTTGTCCAGGCACTCCATTATAAATCCAACTGTCAGGCGCTGACAATAAAACAGGACACAGGACAGCTGTGAGGACTACAGGAACCCCCTCCCTTCCCCTTCTACATACTCGTATAATTTTGCAGCTTTGTCTTACAGCAGAAACAATGCATGAAAAATTGTTCTCTGTGTGATTTGGGCTTATAAAACAGAAGGACTCACTATAGATCACTTCAGATTTGGTCTCAGTCTTCCAGCTGTGCTACAGGGTCTTAGCACAGAATCTGGCACTATGCACCTCCAAAACCACATTTTTCTCTAAATACATAATGGTGATTGCACCACAGACATTGCATATAGCTTCATTCTGTACAGCAAGCACTTGTATGTCTACCGTAACGTGGAGCTCACCTTGCCTTTTACACCCAATTTGTGTTGAATCGATTATCACTTCAAAATATTTTTCACAATAAGATATCAGAGGCATGACTTAAAAAAAAAAAAAAAAGTGGAAAATCAGTAAATGCTGTTGTTGGTGTAAAAAAAGGGGGGGGGGGGAAGAATTATTCCTTATAATCACCTGTTTAGCATATTCAAAACTCCTCTGCTCAGTGCAAGGTGACTCAGAGCAGGGTGTGCGAGACAGGTAACAACAGATGAGGTGATGCATTGTGTTAAGTCCCTTTTACATCAATTGCTGCTGAAGGCAAAATAAGTATTGCCATCCCCTAGGTGCACAAAGGCAACAGCAGGAATTGCAGAAAAGGGCCCCTGTCCTTTGCTCTGCTTGGACTGGCTACCTGCAGGGGATTCTTGCAAGCTCCCAGGCGTCTGTCCATCTGCTCACAACATGAGGAACAGTTCGACTGCCCTGGGAAAAGATCCCTAACAGGACAAAATCCCAGTTTCTCTTTCCTGGGTGTCTCACTCCAGGAAAAGCAAGCTCCTGAGTCGGTTGGTGGAGAAAGCAATAAAAGCAAGAGTAGACAGGTAATTTCAGAATTTTGTATTAAAGGGTTAGAAATCTATTTCTAGTAATGCACACAGTTCACTGTTCAGCACAACCAAATGATCTGTGCTGCTATTTCTTATTACCAGAACAGCACAGCATTTTCCAATCCAATTTGCAGAGTGCTGGAAAATAAGTGTTCTGTACTGTTTTGTCTACAAATTAGAGCTCGACTGGTTCTGCTCCCCTAGAATCACGTTCTACCCAAAGTTTACATGATGTAAGCCCACAGAACAAGAATCATCCCCTTTTCAGCCTCAAGGCCAGACCTGGTGTCTTTGCTGTCTATAACCACAGCTTTGCTATCACAGGCTATTTGATTTGCTGAGTTGTTGACAATTAAGGAGTCAACTTCAGAAATGAGATTTACTCTGGAAGTAGCCAAAGCATTTTATCATTTTGAAAACATCAGCTGGCTCTCTATCTGCTGCAGGCAATGAAATAATAATACAAGGAGGATAGTAATCAGCTGCCTGTGAGCAACAGACAGGTATTACTCTTCACCTCTGGCTGAGGAGGAGTTACTTAATGAGATCTGACTTAACTACCTGCTGATACTTAATGAGAGACTTTTAGGGACAAAGCCACAAACAGGACCTACTTCTTCACCAGCAGGAACTGTCTTCTAATTCCGACCCTTCCCACTCCTCCAGAAGGGGCTTGCTTTTACTTTGTCCAGAGCATATATACGGAAACACATTCCACTTTCCCTACAATTACCAAAAACGTAATTCTTGTCTGTCACAGCACCAAGTAGAGCATTAAGTCTTTAGCTTCCAGACACCTTTCTATTTTGTCTTGAAATAGGGGAACATCATTCTGTAATATCCTTTGTCTGGGAGGGTGGGGTGGGGGGCGGAGTTAATAAAAGAGAGTAAACTGAATTACATGTTTTGTTAGTATAAGAGCATGGAATCTCCTGCCTTCATGTCATAGCTTTTTTTTTTTTTGTGTGCGTGTGTGGATGGCAATTCTGCCAAGTGCATCCGTTTTTTCTAAGCTATTTTAGCTAAGACCTGTCCCTCCAGCCATTCACAGCACACTAACTTGGCCCAGAAGGTACAGGAAGATGCGGCTAGAAATGGGACAAGAGTGAAGTCACCTCTTTAGTCATCTGCTGACTCTGGTATCAGACTAATGAAACAAGTGAACCATACATTAACATAAATTCCAGCTAAAATGAGACCTGAAAAACACTACAAGAACACCAATAAGAGAAAATTCAGAGCTGTTACAATTTCCTGAATCACGCCCAGCTAGAGAACAGCCCAGATACCATCCACCCCACTCAAGTGTCTTAGAACTTCTAAATTTCACAAAAGGTCTTATTTTAGTTGTATGTATCTGGTCAAAGATAAGGGAATAGCCTTAAACATATAAGCCAGAAAGTCTGAGCACGTAAAATTCAATGGGCAAATCTGAAAATGTTTTATAAAACAAACAGGTAAATTTATTTTTAATGATTACTAAAATAGTTTACATAATATACAAGCAGATATGCTATCAGGGTACACTCAGAAATAAATCACAGTTTGTTTTTTTTAAAAATGCATTTGTCCAGTGAAATGTTCAAAATGTGAATGCCATCTTGTCCTTCCTGAGCTATTCTTAAACATCTGGAACAGCAGCACTTCCATGTCAATGCTGGACCTCAGTGGTCAAAACAAATTAACCACTGCTTTAAGTGACCACAGTTATGTGTCTCTCAAACTGTGTTCTTTTATGTTTATTTATATGCTTAAGGTGATTTTGGTCAATTCCACATCACACCCCAAACCTTTGCTTGCGCAGAGAAGTCAGAAGCTCCAGCACCTCCAAGAGGTTTTCCTAGTTAACGAGGATGTTTACAGGACAGCTCAAGGGACTTGTGAATAAAGGATAGGTCCAAGAACCACTAATCTCAGCTGATACAAGAAAATGTCCCACTAATTTGAGAACAGTCTTCACACATTCATTCAAACTCAATAAAACTGAATGCACTTAGACCAGTGGTTCAAGAGCATACACTAACAGCAATGAAATGGAAGTGCTGCAATTCACTTTTTTTTTTTTTTTACACAAAATATTTACAATAGAAACACATACATGTTTTTAGTCTGATATGAGGGATTCTTGGCAGGAGGCACTCTAAAAATATGTTTTAAAAACACGCGTTGCAAATCTGTTCTTCACTAAAAGCTTATGCAGCAAGCAGCAGGTTATATGCAGACACATGAAAAAAGATCTGTTTTCTAGTATACCGAGTACCACAAATAAATAAATTCTCTCGATGCAAAAATAGTTATCTTATTAAAGGAAGAAATAATTACATCTTCCTAAACTTTTGTTTGGAAAGATGTAACATGTCTTTAGTACACATGTGGCTGACTTTTTCATTTTTCTCCAAGTTTTAAGACTCGCAAAACTTTGACAAACAGCAGAGAATTCTTGGACACAGTGAGGCAAAGAGGAACTAAGGGATCATTTACCTGACATCTACTACTAACTTCAAATTAATGTCTGAACTCCAGCTTTTCTCACTCTCCTGACTGGTTGGGGCTGTCTCATTTTAGAAAGAAATGCTTGCTGAAAGGTCCTCCAAAAGTCACAAATCTCTCAAGCAATTCTCACCATTTCTAGAAGTCTCCAGAGACAGCTGACATCTACGCTGTAGTTAAAGGGACCAAGAAAAAACTTGTGTTTAGACCCACGTCACTTTATCATTTTCACTGCATTATAAGAAAAGTAAGCAATTCTGGAAGATGAAGCTGATGTTTTTACATCCCATTACCATGTTACACGTGATATTAGCTTTTATCCACCAGCAGAAAGGGATCTGATCTTCACAGCAAAGCCAACAGTGCACCAAAACAGTTTCATGAGCAGATGAGTGTTTCTGCAGTTGTGGATGCTTGCTTCTAACTGCAGGACACCAAACCTGAGTAAGTTACTGAAGACAACTTACCAAGAACAATCAAGTTCCTTGTTTATGTTCTGCAGTTTATTTAGAGAAGTCCCAGTTACTTTAGTAGAAGCAATCCTGCTACTTGGTGAAATTTCTTTGCACAGAAAGGACTTTGTGCTGCCTGAGCTCAGCAGCCACAGTAGGTTTTTCCCTGTTCAGCCATTACAACATATTTTTTGTCTTCCTCCTTTCCAGAGTCCTCTCTAAGAACTTTTATGTGCATCCCTCCATAGGAAGGCCCTCTTCAGGCCTAACAGGTAACACAAGGTGAGAGATACGGCTCCACAGTCCACTCAGCTTATCTGTATCCATGCTATTGTAAGAACTGGGAACATCCGAACTGGTGAACTTGGTCTCGAGGAAATCCCTCACTTTCTCCTCAAGTTCTGGCACAGTAAGGCTCTTTCCCAGTGACTTCTCATCCAGGAGAACAGTCAGCAGAAGAGCCACATCCTTAAATGCTGCATTTTCATGGTCACAGTACTTGTAAAAGATCAAGGTGGAGCCTGCAGGCAGTAACTCAAAACGATGCACCACTGCTACCTTCTTGCCTTTGCTGAACCCAGAGCTGAGCTGGTTATCTACTTCCATCTTAACATCGTCACTATCCATTTCGGCTTTGTCTGCCCCGTTAATTTTGATTGCAGTAGCATTCTGGGAGAAGGCAAAAGCATCAGCAATCTCATTACTGAGGCACCTTAGCGCTTTCTCAGCTTCTCGGCCAGCTGTGAACAGTAAGATGGCTGGCTTCGTGTGCGGCTGGGAAACGTTGAGGTATTTCTCAAGGAACATGTGGGTTTTTCTCCACAGACTGGGGTCCTGACTTCGATACGTTTCTTTGAGTTTATCCATCCGGGCCCGAAACACTTGCAGAATTTGAGTAGTTCTACTTGACTTTGTTGTTGACATTGTTAACATTCCCGTCCACCAGACACACAATGCCAGTGCGACAATTAACAGAACCAGTAAAGTCCATCTCTTTCGAAATCCAGTCTTTGATCCACCATCCTCTATAGAAAAGAGGTGCAAAATGATGTTTTTAAAAGGAATAAGAAGCCAACAAGCAAAAACCAACAGCAAAAAAAAGAGCATACAGTAGAGGTCAATGAAATCATCCCACTCTCAAGCTACTGGTACAGCAGTTGAAGAACATAAAGATGTTCTAGGTTAAAAGAAAACCTTTCAGATTTCACTTTTCCAGGTTAAAACAAAGCCTTTCACTTCTTCAGCAAGTTAGTGAAGAGTCATCATTTAAAAAGGACATTTTGAAGGATTTCCAGATTGACTAAGAAATTGGACATCCTTCTGAAAGAAGGAGCTCTTCTGGAAAATCCACCCTTTATTTAACCAAATCCAAACTAACAATTATAATGGCTCTCAGGAAGATCAAGTTTGTTCCTACATTTAGTTTCTGTAGAAAGAGCTTGATAGAAAATCTGGCAGCACCAGGATTGTTTGTGTGTTGCTGTTTGTCAGCAAGCATACAGAATATCAGGTATTTTGATTTGGTTTTGTGTTTGAACAGTTAAACTAACACTTGTTTGACCTACTGCAAACATAAGGCTTGATCCTGTCTCCAATAAAATCATTAACAAAACACACCAACTACCCTGGCAACAGCAAAGAACTATACCCCACACTACCTTTTTATGTCCTAGCCTTTATCAGGACAGCGACACAACAGCTATTAAATAAGAACATCACTAGGCCTGCCTCAGTTTTAATCTTGCAGCAAATCTCATAGACATTACAGATGGAAGACCTTAAATTTGGGTGGCAGCATTACTTATTGTACAAGACTCCTTCCTTAGCGCTGAAAACACATGCACTAGTGAGCAAAGCACCTGTTCTGGCAAGGACCATCAGTTTAACACCAGCAACCAAGAAATCTACTACTTGGACAAGCATGGGAATAGCTCATGTAACACAAGCATGAAATAAAAGTGAAAGCAGAAGTCTTACTTTTGGCCAAACGCTGTGACTGCTTCTGTGACTGCTTCACTATACTGGGTTGGTCTCGAAATTTACTTCTGCCTGTTAAGGGATTAAGAAAGCAACATGAGGAAAACACGTAAGACAACAATTAGAAGCAATCTTCCATTGGGGAATTTGGCAGGGAGTTGAAGTCACAGAACTGCATCACCTTCGATGGAAAGCTGTTCTTAGTTATGCTTTTACATACAAAATTCTCTGAAGCTTACAAGAAGGTTACTACCAAGAGCAGAGGCAAAGCTATGACCTCATCCTGAGTACAACTGTATCAGCTATGGGCTTTCTATTCCTTTCTGCCTCATCACCATCCTGTACGCAGGCAAGGCAAGTCTTGAACAAGGAAGATGAAACATTCACTGCTGTTAAGAGCCTGAGAAGCCCCCTTTGACTCTTGGCTTCCCAACTACACTCCTTGCCAAATGTCAGGTCTTAAGCCATCTTGACAGTCTTGCATAAAAAATGCAACCAACCTACCACAAAACATCCCTAGTGATTTAAATAAAAAAAAATAAAAAATTGAAAAGTTTTCCAAATAAAAATTCAGACATTTGAAGTACAAGATGACAAAATGGCAGATTTAACAACCTGTTATGGTCTGCACAAGGATACCACACCCCATTTAAGTTCCCCCATATTGCTCAAGAATTTGAGGGACAGAAAACTGAAACTTAATATATGTTTTAGGAAAACAAGACAATGCAAGATTTAGGTAGGAAAAGAAAAGCAGCATTTTAAAGGCAGAGTCTCACATCCCCTCCCATCTAGCTTGGTTGAGAGACCTGCTTCACTGTCACTCAGTTTATTGGGATGAATTGTGCTTTTAAAGAAAAATGCAAGCTTTCAACTTAAAATATACTTTTGGTCTGTTTATTTAAATGGGTTCAGACAGCAAAGTAGTACAGACACAATCCATCAAAGAGCGCTACGGACAACTTTCCCAGGAGACCTGTATGAATATATACAGAGCAATTATTGGTCAGCATGTTTTCTGCATTTAGGCAGTTAATTAAAAAGACATGAGAATTTCTGGCTCCTTGAGAACTACAGCCACTGGTTCAAAAGTAATATATAGCCAAATCAGGATACTGTCAATGACACTACTAAGAATAAATTGAACAAACACGCCCTGTAGTAGTTATTTCAAGAAAAGTAAAATAAATACAACAACCTTGCTTCTGTATGAATGTAATAACAGTAGGTGCTAAAAGCAGTTCTGGTTTAAGCCAAAGCTTAACCAGCTTAATGAGCTGCTCTGTTCTGCAATTCCCCTCCACCCTCAGTAGGGCAAAGACATGGAGCTTGTAGCTGGCTAAGCTGTCACAAGTCTAGTAGTTAACAGATCAGAATCATCCCCATTCTGTATTTTACAGGGTACCCTGTTTGCACAGACTAGTTTTCACATTTAGGAGACGGCTGTGATTCATATCCTTAAGGAAAACATATTTCAATGAACAATCTAATAACAGATTCTATCCTACCTATGAATCTTGCCTGATTTACAAGGCAATTTGCAATGAAAGCCAAGCAAATTATTTGTTTTGCCTAACTCAGAAGGTCTAACTTCTTTAGGCACATTGGACTTTCCAGTGTCAATTAATTTTCAAGAGTTCTTCACCCAGCAAGCATTGATTTGTTCAACAAGCACCCAGGATCTCTCATGCAGCATATATTGCCTCTGCAACAGGAATGAAAATATCAAACTAGCAAGAACAGCCTGCATCAATTCATATTTTCAAAGGTGTTTCACAAATGTGCAGCTACCACAAAATGAGCTTCTCTTATGGAAGGCAGTGTGGTTTAAAAAAAATTTCAAAAAATGTCAACTACCAAGTTCTCCAAAATGAATTCTGATTTACAAGACGTTGGTTTTTATCTTTACTGTTCAGGATAGAAACAAATGCTGAGATGGCAAGAACTGAAGGCTACTTAGAATTCAGAACTTTTTTTTTTCTTATTTCAAGTACTCTTCCAAGAGGAAAAGGAAAAAAAAAAACAAAACACCACAAGCAAACAAACACAAAAGAGTCCCCCACCAGCATAAAAATCTGAAACAAGGAATTGGTCATTGGATGAACAAATTGGCATTTGCCAGTATAGAAAAGAGGCTGCTCCTGTCTAGGAGTATCAGAATGATGATTTAAATCACAGAAGGCTGACATTACCCAGGGAAAGTCTAGAGAGGAAGGTGACGTGGGTACACTCCTACCAAAAGGTGAAGGTTGTGTTCCCTCCCTCATGCCCACAATACCACTGGTATGTGCTCTCCACTTACGACTGCCCCATGAACCAACTCAGCTTCCTAACCCAGCCAAAAAGCAAAAGGGTCATTTTCTGTTGGGTCAGCAAGTTGAATAACCTCACAGAAAGGCCTGGCTCTGGAACAAACCAGCTTTCCAGCTCCCATTTGTGTCTCCCTCCTGGGTCCCTTTCTACTCTCCTGGACTGAGAGTTACAGGGCACAAGAAAAATGTAAGCAGAGGAAAGGAGAAGGATTCTGTACTTATCACTTACCAACAGGGAAGGACTAGCTATCTATTTTTCTACTTACTCTGTGGCTTAGGTGAGTGGTGCTCTTGATTTTTCTCAAAGAAGTCAGCCTTGCTTTCTGAAACCAAAGCAAAAATAAAACAACTTGGTCATCACATCAGAGTTCAGAATAAAGTAGACAACCCAAATGCTTCTAGCTCTTGCTGTGCAATCTTCAAAGGTTATCAGGGAAGGAGCGTGTGCTGTACTGACAGACCAAACCTGCTCCATATGACAGCCTCTTGGACTGCTCTGTAGAGGGAGAAAGCTTCCATATCTAATGGAAAGGGCTTAATGTGGCCCTTCACCCTGCTCTTCCCAACATGCCACAGGAATATTCTTCCCACGTTTTCTTTAAAATGCAATGATGATGAAAACACGTGATTCTGTGATCACTACTGGAAGGTACCAGGTCTGACACTTGAAACTGAAACTCTTTGTTCAGCAAGAGGGAAAAACAAAAACACTGTAAAGTTGCCACCTTAACAGCAACGCTATCAAACCCAGAAGAACTCAGCAAACGGGCGCATTTTTCTAGCTGCCAGAGTAAAATGCCTGCATGTGCTCCTGGGAAACAGCAGGCTGACAGAGATCTGTTCTTTAGGACATCTCAGCTACTTAGTTTGCGTCTATATTTTGTCAGTCTGCACTCCTAATTGCTTTCAGTGCTCTTGCATAAGCAATGAATTTAACTGTGTGATTAGGACTGTTACTGACTGACTGAATGCAAACAACTCCCTTACTCTCCAACCATTTACCAGCTCTCCTAAAAACCTCCCTTACGTGGCTTATCTATTTAGATGTATTCAAATCACTTTCAGCAACTGAACTACCCTCTGCTGGTCTAAAGGAGCCTGTACTTTTTTCCTTGTTGTATTTTCCTATTGCTTCTGTAATATAAATCAACAATCCCTGAACAATGAACCCTTAAAACACTTGGTATAGTTAGCTTCCCCCTGCTAAAGTTGAAACTAACTCATCTTTTTAGAGAAGGGATGGTTTTGTTTTGCTTTGCAGGGGGCAGTTAAAGCTCCACTATTGTAAACATAACAGTTTTGGAAGCAGGTATCACATTACTCATCTTGATTTGCTTTTCAGAAGACAGAAGGTTATGTATTATCAAAGTTTAAAACCACACTTTCTTGCATATTGGGGTTTTACACCCCAGCAGATGGTTGTCATACTACAATCAGTTTTGGCTCACAGGCAGGAGCAGACCCTGAAAAAAAATATTTTCAACTCCTTCATCTGTTCATGTTTCAACTCAACAACTCTCTCTGTTTTAAGAAAACTGAAGGGATGTCATTTTAGTACAATTAAGCAATCACTTATTACATCATGGGAAAGACATCGACAAAACTAGTGTTGTTACCTTTTAATGGTGCATGAACACTTGGTTGATGCCCTGCTGGTTTCTTGAGTTCAATGCCATCATAATCCTTTGCTTTTTCCTTTGCTGGGTTCTCTGGAAGTAAGAAATTTGAAGAACTGCCTACTAGGAAAAAAAAAAAAAAAAAGGATTGTTATAATTGCTGTATCATTTGTGTTCGTGACATCATGAAACTGATGAACCAAGACAGTTTCAGAACATATATGATCTTAATCTGTGATATTTCTAGTCATGATCTCATGAGAGTTACTTTCTAGAAAAGTAACCAAAAGAAACTAAGAATTGAAAAGTTTATGGCAAGTTTGAGTTCTACAAACACAGCTGTCTGCACCATACAGACTTTTTTTTAAGGAGTCTTTGGCTTAAAACCACTTTAAACAAACAGACATCAAGATACCAAATGCTAAGAGCTAGGAAATGCCCTACTAAAGGAATTCAGCGTAAACTAGTAAACACAAGCCTGGAAGTAAAGCGATTTTTTGCACTGGGCACACAATTTACAAACAAACAATAATTGTCCCATGTTTTCCATAGTGTTATGGAGAGGTAATAAGAGAGAGAAGCAACTTTAGAACGTAATTCCCCTTTTTAAATAGCCTAAGCTGTCCTTTATCTGTCTCTCTTTTTCACCTATCAACCATAAAGGAAATCTGAGGCACCTATGCTCCTAATTTAATCCTCAGATAGCTGGGAAGAAATCTAACCCCCCTTTATATTGTTTGCCATAAATCACACAGCCATTTAGATGCTGAAATCAAACTTAGTCAACATAGAAGTAACAGAGCAAAGGTCAGGGCTGGGAAGCCAGTCAGAAACAGAAGGCCAGCAAAAGAGGTTTGAAAAGACAAAGCACAATCAGATTTAAGGAAAACAAATCCCCTCGGGTATGGAGTAAAAGCTGTAGTACTGCTTGATCATGATACAGTGACCAAGCTGAGGGCATAAGCAAGAAGAAACAGCAAACAGGAGAATACAAAGTGGTAAAGCTTCCTCTGCAACATCCACACAGGGCTTTGTTAAAATAATCAAACAAACCAGAACAGTACTGTGTTCTCCTATGGTTTCACAGATATTTTTTTTTTAATGTGCTTCTAGAGCTCTTACTGCATGTGTGAGGACAATACACATCTTGCCACCTACTGTTTATTAATTTTACCTCAAAAATAGTGAGCAAACCTTTTCTCTCAGATGTTCTGGTGGCTCTAGTACGCCAGTGCGTATAAAGAGTATAAAGGAGGAAAAAAAAGGTGGAAGAAAACCATAAATTTTAAACTGAGATGTCACGTCACAGGTAAAACAGTAAAGTACTTGCAAGTAGTAAGTGGGACACTGTATTTTCAAATTTGTCCTAAAAATCAGTTAAATTACTTATTTTCCGCCAGGCTAGAATGCAGATTCTCTCCCATTCACTTGTTTCCCAAGAATGCCAAACAACACAGCTGTGGTATTTCTCTACACACTGAGATTTTGCAAGAAACTCTCACCGTCAGCATTGCCTAGTAATCACAAGACCAGGATGATCTATGAATTTAAAGAGGGCTGCTCATTCAATCCATACTTCTTCATTCCTCTCCTCTTTGCACCATTCCATACTCTGAAAGCACTCTTAAAAGTTGTTGCGAACATGAAAGCTATAAACATACTTCACTGCTCACATTAACAGCTTGCAGACCAACATCTTCTGTGTCCAACAGACAGGAAGAGTATTGGGGCAAGCAGACAGCATGCACAGTAACTCCTACAGAGGAAAGTAAGCCTCCCCTGCATGGTTTAACTTCCATAAATATGTACATATAAAACTTCCAGTCCAGAACACACCTGTTGTACCCTCACAAGGCCTCGAGCCTCCTGCCCTAAGGACCATTTTTGCCTCCTGAGCAGCTAACAAAGATTTACCTGCACCTTAAACCTGCTAGCTAGCCACCTCCTGCAGTCACCTGCCAGGAGATCTTCTTGCAATCCCCGTTCCATAAACCAGCTAAATCAAAGGGTTTAGAAATCTGTAAATTCATAAACTACAGGCTTATAAACCAAAATACAAAGCCACTACTTTACCACTGCAAATTGGTCATTTAACTCTGGTACACGTTTGCTCCTGTGGGTTCAATCTTCTTCAACACAAGAGATGAGCCTGCAACATTCCACAACAACTACAGACAGCACAAATTCGGGTGCCAAAAACATCCATCACTTGCCCTTTGCTTGTACAGTCATAAATTCTACTTGCTTTTTTTGTCTTTTAAGACAAATTCAGCGTAGGTCGCTAGTGTGCACTGTTAGCTAGCTGAACAAGAAGATGCCTGATCTGAGACAGGGTTTTTACACTCTTAAAATTCTTTAACTTTAGAAACAGGTTTCCTAATTTATATTTAAAGCCTCTAAGCATAAGTCAGAAGCCAGTTCCCCCGCTCATGGTTTCATTTCCATGCTGCTCCCTAGGAAGCATGACAATTACAAAGAAACAAAGCCCTTATAAAAGCCCTTCTGAAGATCCACCCTCCTTGTCCTGCTGCCTCACAGGCCCTGCATTCCCCCAGTCTTCCCTGAGCTCTGCAGAAGAACACAACATTAGCTACAGAGAGCAGCACCGTGATGGGGGTAATTACTCCTTCACTTCTATATCAAGCAGTATAGTCCTCACATTTTACAACATTCGTGTACGTAACTGTCTTTATCAGTGTAGCGATAGGGCAAGGGTTAACAGCTTTAAACTAACAGGTAGATTTAGATTAGAAATAAGGAGGAAATTCGTTACTGTGAGGGTGGTGAGGCCCTGGCAGAGGCTGTGCAAAGAAGCTGTGGCTGCCCCAGCCCTGGGGGTGTCCAGGGCTGGGGGCAGCCTGGGTTGGTGGGAGGTGTCCCTGGCTATGGCTGGGGGAGGAACCGGGTGGGCTTCAAGGTCCCTTCCAACCCAAACTGTTTTGTGATTTTATAAGCAAATGCCACTGATGCTGAAAGCCTGGGGAGGTGGGGGATGGCATCTCTCCCCCATCATCATCCTTTGAGATGCCCTCAGGAAAATAAATAAATAAATAAATCCACTCAGACGAACTTCCTAAAGCAGCGGCTTCCCACGGCTTTTCCAGAGACGAAGCTTTTCCACCTGCTAAGCAGCTGTGCTTTTTTCACGTTGCTGCTTTACGCGCTAACTAGCGGCACCCTCACTCCTAACGCCGCTTAACGCCGAGGTTCCTCCTTCCCCACAGCCTCCGCCTTCCTCCTTCAGGGCGAGCCTTCCCCGCGGTGAAAGCTCGCAGGCGGCTCAGGAGACACAACGGGAAGGGAGCGGAGCCATCTGCCCGCAGCCCTGTGACGGGGCCGGCGGCACAGGAGGATTTTAGGCACCGCCGGGAGCCCGCACTCACCTGCCTGCCCTGCAGGCTCGGATCGGCGGCCGGGTCAGGCGCTCCGGGCTCAGCACGCCGAGCTCGCCCCCTGCAACGACACACGCGTGAGGCGAGCGGGACCCCCGAGGGGGCTCCAGCTCCACGCGTCCCCTGCCCAAAGCCTCTCGCATCCCCCACGCCGCTCACCCTCCGGCGCCCCACCGGAGCCGTGCTCGGGCTCGGCCTCCCTCTCCGCCGCCTCCGCCAAGCGGGGGCTCTTTCGCCGCCGCTTCAGCTCGGGGGCAGTCCGGCGGAGCCCGCTCGTCGCCGTCCCCCACCATGCCGCTGGCGCTTCAGACAACCACCGCTTTCCCCTCAGCCCTGCCCTTCCCTGCCTGCCGCCTCGCTCGGAGCCTCCCCGGGACCGAAGCTGCCGCCTCGGCGCGGCGGGGGCGGCCCCGGCTGCCTCATTTCCCGCAGCGGCCCCGCCGCTTCCTGCGGGCTGAGGGGCGGCCCCTGGGCTGCGCCGCCGCCATGTTGCGCGCGGCCGCGCTGAGGGGGCGCCGCCGCCGCCGCCATGTTGTGCGCGGCTCCCCGCGCAGAGCCCCTCTCGGGCACCGAAATTTGGGACTCTCTTTCTTTTTTATTTTTTATTTGTTTTGTACGTGTTGTCCATTATTGAGCATGGAGGCTGTGTGAGGCAAGCGCCAATCACTCCCCTGCGACAGCCTCCTGTATCCACACATTTCACTATAAAGTATTTTAATGCTATACCAGCCCACTGTAAACATTCCGGTTTTGCCTAGAAGCAAGTAAATATTTGTGAAGTAAATTATGCATGCTCTCACCTGTACCGGCAGGTGTCATACAAGATGTAAATGCTGAATGTAGGCATTGAACAATGTTTTCTAAAGCAAAAACAAATGAGGCAATAAATGCCGTGTTGGGAGGTTTCAAAGTACAGCCGAACTGTTAGTGCAATTCAAAGTAGGGAGGAAAAGACCTGCTGGAGGCACGGCTTGTGATCTCTGACCCGGCAGGTGACCGACCTGGTGCGACTACAGCTACCAAGCTGTATCACATTGCTCACAAGAAGAAAAGTGGGGGTCAAGATTAGTTGAACGATTAATTAAAAGCAGTTTAATGAAAGAAAAGCAAAGGCTGCTCACAGAAGCAAGAAAAAAATCTCTCTGCTTTCCATCAGCAGGTGATGTCCAGCCACTTCCTGGGAAGATCGGCTTCAGCACACGCAGCAATTGCTTCAGAAGACAAACGCTTTCATAGCAAATGCCCCTGCTCCTGCTTGCCCTTAGTTTTTAGGGTTGAGCTTGAGGTTATAAGGCATGGAGTATCCCTTTGGGCAGTTAGGGTCAGCTGTTCCAGCTGTGTCCCTTCCCAGCCTCTTGTCTGGGACTACTGGCTTTTGGGGGGCTGGAAAGAGAGCCTTGATGCTGTGCAAGCACTGCTCAGCAACAGCCAAAACTCAAAGCACAGCACTTTTTGGGATGCCATGAGGACAGTGAGCCCCATCCCAGCCAGACCCAGTGCATCACCAGTACAGGAGTTCAGGATGCTGTGGGAGCAGAAGGAGAGCAGACCATGGCATAGGGCTGGGCTTTTTGCACTTCACCTAAATGATATTTCCCCACCCAGTCAAGCACGAACTTTTTACAGACCTGGTGTCCAAAAATGAGTCTAATCCCGAAACTCTGCCCCCATCACCCCTGTGCCAGGAAGGTCTGGAAGTGTCTTGCACATAGCATAAAAAAGTACTTTTTTTTCTGTCCACTCAAACCTAACCCACTGCCTGTTTCGCAAATGTCTCAAGTTCTGGTAATGAGGGGTTTGGTGAACAGTAACTCCACGTGGATCAGCCCTCCCCTCTGTCAGCCTTCTGCTCCCCAAATTGAAGAGTCCCACTCCCAGACTCTGCCCTGTACTGGCACTGCTTCAGTCGCCTTTCCCTGTGCCTCGTCTCAGCCATTTGTGGATGGTAAAAATGTTCCAGGCTGACCTGTGGGCTCTGTCCCTTGCATCGATGCCTTTCCCCCGTGTGCCCTGTGCCATGCCACCTTTTCCCATGAAATGGGAAATATTTTAATTTTTTTTTGAAAAGCAACACCTGGATGTATTTAAGCCTACAGCACAGAAATGCAGCCAGAAACACAGTCCAAAAGGAGTTCAAAAACGCTGAGCGCTTCCGGGAATGACAGCCCTGCTTCTCCTGGTGGAAGAGCTGCCAGCACTGGAGAGGAGGGAGGAAAACTACAGCTCCCAGCAGCCTGCCTGGGCTGCCGTGGAAGGGCAGGGTTCACCCTCGCGCCGACAGCAGCGGAGGATTTAGGGCGCGTTCGGGAAAAGGGCTGTCTGGCCAAGCCAAAGGGCCTCCAGGAAGGACAAGCCCCGGGGCTATTACTGGCCACCTCGCCGCTTCTCTTCACAGCCCCGACAGGCTCCAGCCCTGCCCAGGTAAGTGTCTGAGGGCATGGCGGCTTTGTGCTTCCCTTTCTGCAAGTGGGAATGGCACAGAGAAGGGAGGGACAGCAGCCAGGCCAAGACAGCCATAAATGAACCCCCACACTCCTAAATCTTGTTTTTAGCAAGAAAACTGAGCTGTAGAGGAGCCAAGGGGAAAGGTTCCCCTCCAGCCGCTGTGACGGCTGGGTATTGAGATCTTTGATCTGCATGAACCCAGCTACAGCGGGGAGAGTTTCTCTGGAGTTTTCCACGTTGCCTGTGGCTGGTCAGCAGGCAGGCGTTGCCCTTGTCACTGAAGGTTCGTGGCATACAGTACCAGTTACATGAACCCGTTTTCATGCCTCCCAAATAATTTTGAGCATGGAGGGGGGATTCTCCTCTTTCACCATGAATCACTGTGGCTGTGTTTGTGCTTGTCAGGTCTACAGATGTTCAGCTGCAGTTCCTGAGGCCAAGGCAGGATGGTGGTCCTGCTGGAGGTACGACTTGGTCAGCCACCCCACCAGCAGGGAGACAAATCCCTGCACAAGCAAAGGAGAAAGTGAAGTAAAAGGTACCAAGACCCCACAGGAGCAAGAAAATGGAAAAGAATCCAAGTGTGGATCTGCCTGGAGGTAAGCCAACCCTGTGCTTGCTCCATCTCCTGGGAAAATCCCATCATGAGAGTATTTCAACAGTGATAAAGGAAACTGAAACAAAATCACAAGCTGAGAAAAATCCCTTCTTCTCCAGGCCACGTAGTAACAATTTACCTTCACTTTTGGATTCCGGTCAGCAGCAAGTTTAGGCTCAGTGTCCAGGATGGCAGCACGAGAAGGGCTAAAGATAGAGCTGCAGGCTAGGAGAACTTTGTTCCTGGTATCCTAATGCTTCCCCCTGGGAAACAGCTTTGTAACGTGGGCTGCAGGGAGGGGAACACCTCCTCTGGGTCAGCTGCCAAGTATAAGTGCAATCAGGTAGAGCAGCAGGGTTATGCATGGTATGTGGCAGGGGTAGAGTCACCTCCCTCTGGTGACCAGTCAAGGAGGAGGCTCTGTTTAACACAGGTGTTTCAGATGGACCTGCAAGGAGAAGCGGGGAGTTAACAAACAGGCTTCCAGTGAAGAAGTGAGTCCCATCGGGTTGTATCTGCCAGGTGGGCACGACACAGTTCACCTCAAGTGCAGGATCCAAATTCTGCAGAGGCCAGAAGCCACAGATCTGCAGATGTTAAATAATAAGGCAGTTTTCCACCACCCAGAGATACAAAACCTGCAGAATAGGCAGGGCAAGGAGCACTGCTTGTTCCCAACTTGAATAGCAGGATACCTCCACGTTCACTGCATTTCAGTTCCTACCATGCACTTACATCCTCCTGGTGCCTTAATACATGAACATTTCAGTGATACCTTGATGCTATAATCTTATCAGACCTGTCCTAGGCATTCAGAATTGCTCCTGTAACAACAGGAACAAAGCAACAAAGAATGTAAAAGTCCAAAGGACAGCATGTTCTGACATGTGACAAGCACAGCTTTTCTCTGTTTTCGAATTAGGAGAGAGTTCCTTCCATTTTTGTATTTTTCTAATTTAGCATCATTATTTCTCTGTCATTGTAGTGTGTTTTTCTCACTTTTGGTCACCCAAGGTACTCAGCTGTGTTGTGGCCAACCCACCACACTGTGAGCTTTCACACATTTGAGCTTTAAAAAAACAAAGCTACCAGCACTGGACAGGTCAAAGTTTGGAGAGAGGATTGCATCTCTGAGAGTGATCACTCATTGTATGGCCACTACTACAGTCAAAACTCGTAGAGGGCAATTTGAGCTGTCTGTCTGGACAGAAGGCAGTGTGATTCCCTGGTGATGATGGCTGGTTGTGGTAAACTCTTCTCCAGAGCAGCACGTGTAGATGTTTCTGAAATGCAGGACCCGGGAGTTTTACAGGGTGGTGGTGAAGCACTGGGTATTCCCATGTCCTGCATGGCTAGCTGAGCTTGTGAACTCTGATCCCAACAGCTGGGCCAGCCCAAGATGAGGTGGAGAGCATAGCAGAGCATCCTGCACACCAGGAGCCCCCCAGAGAAACACTTGAGCACCAAGAGGCGAGCAGGTGTCCTGAGACCTCCTGCAAACCAGAGGAGGACTCTTTGGTGAGTAATCCACCAACTGCTTTTGGGGAAGAGGTGAAGCCTTCAGGGTTAGCTGGCCCCACAGTGGAGGAGAAGGCTCCTCAGGAATCTGAAGCATCACTGGAAGAACCTGTGGAGATGAGACATGGTGTCTCCGAAAGACCTCAGGAAGAAGATGACTCGGACAGAGGTGAGTCTCTCCCCATCTGCCTGTACTGCATTTCCAAATTGCTGATAACCTGGGCCTTTCCTTCGAGGAGGCAGAACAGGAGAAAAGGGGGCTGGTTCTTGTGCTGAAAGAAGCTAAGCCTAGGTCTATGAATTTCACTCCCTACAGCCGTGCAGGCCCAAGACAAAACGGACAGCAAAGGAGACAGCAATGTCCTCCAGGAAACTCAGCAGGACCTGGAGATAAGCAGGCAACGTGAAAGCTGCACAGCAGAGGAAGATGCTTTATCAAGAAAGGAGTCACTGAGCTCTGAGAGCAAAACGACACATTCAGATGTGAACGCCACAGAAGATGTCACTGAGGGCCTCTCAGCAGAGGAGAGCACCAGTGTCCCTCTGCTAGGTCAGGAGCCAGGAGAGCACAAAGAGCCAGAAACACAGGAGAGGGAATCCTCAAGCACATTAAGGAGCAGACATGAGACAAAAGGTGAGCTGGTAGTGCTCATTGTAGTGCTTGATCAGTCATAAGTCATTTCCAATAATACCAGTTGAAATTTGAGCCTCAGTTCGGTTTTGTAAGATTATGTCTATGTTGCAAATTCTTATATTCAGCCTCAGAATGTCTCTATTGAACAATGCCCTAATATTTGGGTTTAATTTGCTGTTTCTTTGTTAACATAGCCATTTGGAAGAGTAGCCCCATTGGCAATAAAAGCTGGGGTACAGGAAGAAGGTGGCGGAGAGGAGGTTGGCTTCCAAGGTGGCCATTGCATGGAGGCAATGAGCATTATGTCCAATATTCAACAGAAAGAGACTGGATAGACTTAAAATTCTTCAAGTCTATCATATTAATTTACCAGCCTAGGAAAACTGCTGTTGTTTGGGGAAGATCTGGCAATGTAGCATTTAATGAAGGGACTGCCAGTCCCTGTAGGATGCTGTGCACTGGGTCTGGCCAGCACAGAGTTAGCTTCCAGCACAGCAGCCAGCAGGGGGTTGTGTTTTGGATTTGTGGTTAAAAATAAAGCAACAGAAAGTGTTGATAATGCACCTGTGTTTGGGCTACTGCTGAACAGGGCTTGCACAGCCTCAAGGTTTTCTCTTTCTGCCAGCATGTAGGATGGGATGGGCAAAAGATTTGGAGGGGACACAGCTGGGACAGCTGTCCCAAGGTAACCCAAATTATTCCATACACTATAATGTCATGCTCTGCCATAAAACTGAGGAACAGGAAGAAAAAAGGGGGAGATGTGGTTGGCTTTCAAGTTGGCCATTGCATGCAGATTCTCTGGTCATTGGTCCACTTGGGGCAGATGATCATTAGTGACCTCCACTTCCTTCATCTACTCAGTTGCCTTGACCTTCACCCACAAATTTTCTCAATTTTGGTCACCCTGGGTGCTCAGCTGTGCCGTGGCCAACCCACCACACTGTGAGCTTTCACACATTTGAGCTTTAAAAAACCAAAGCTACCAGCACTGGACAGGTCAAGGTTTGGAGAGAGGATTGCATCTCTGAGAGTGATCGCTCACTGTATGGCCACTACTACAGTCAAAAATCATAGAGGGCAATCTGAGCCCTCTGTCTGGACAGAAGGCAGTGTGACTCCCTGGTGATAATGGCTGGTAGTGGTAAACTCTTCTCCAGAGCAGCACGTGTAGATGTTTCTGAAATGCAGGACCTGGGAATTTTACAGGGTGGTGGTGAAGCACTGGGTATTCCCATGTCCTGCATGGCTAGCTGAGCTTGTGAACTCTGATCCCAACAGCTGGGCCAGCCCAAGATGAGGTGGAGAGCACAGCAGAGCATCCTGCACACCAGGAGCCCCCCAGAGAAACACTTGAGCACCAAGAGGCGAGCAGGTGTCCTGAGACCTCCTGCAAACCAGAGGAGGACTCTTTGGTGAGTAATCCACCAACTGCTTTTGGGGAAGAGGTGAAGCCATTGGAGTTAGCTGGCCCCACAGTGGAGGAGAAGGCTCCTCAGGAAACTGAAGCATCACTGGAAGAACCTGTGGAGACGAGAGATGGCGTCTCCGAAAGACCTCAGGAAGAAGATGACTCGGACAGAGGTGAGTCCCTCCCCATCTGCCTGTACTGCATTTCCAAAATGCTGATAACCTGGGCCTTTCCTTCAAGGAGGCAGAACAGGAGAAAAGGGGGCTGGTTCTTGTGCTGAAAGAAGCTAAGCCTAGGTCTGTGAATTTCACTCCCTACAGCTGTGCTGGCCCAAGACAAAACGGACAGCAAAGGAGACAGCAGTGTCCCCCAGGAAACTCAGCAGGACCTGGAGATAAGCAGGCAACGTGAAAGCTGCGCAGCAGAGGAAGATGCTTTATCAAGAAAGGAGTCACTGAGCTCTGAGAGCAAAATGACACATTCAGATGTGAACGCCACAGAAGATGTCACCGAGGGCCGTCTCAGCAGAGGAGAGCACCAGTGTCCCTCTGCTAGGTCAGGAGCCAGGAGAGCACAAAGAGCCAGAAACACAGGAGAGGGAATCCTCAAGCACATTAAGGAGCAGACATGGGACAAAGGGTGAGCTGGTGGTTGCACTCTTCTGCTGCTTCTGTGTGTACCTGCCTGTGCTTTGCATAGGCATTGGAAAAAATATAATAAATGAGATTTCTAGTGGCTGTTTTCAGGTTTTTGGAGTATTTGCTCCTTAGCACAAAATTAACTGGCTTCTCTCTCTCTGTCTGCTTCCTCCTCCCCCCTCTCTTTCGCTGCACTCAAATTACCATTAACTCAAAGCAATATTAACTTCTAACTCTTTTCCACGGCTGGAAGCTCTGGAAAGCTCTGTTACTTGTCTCACAACCCAACTTATGCACTCCCTCAACAGCGAGTGACAAATTTCTTTCTCACTGTAGGATGTGCAGCCCCACAGCCAGAGGCTCAGCCATGCTTGCAGAACATTGCCACTCAAAATACAGAACAGGAGAAGACAGAAGAGTTCAGCTTACTGAAAGGTGAGGAAAAGAAGCTTCCCTTGTGCATTACTCATCGACCAGAAGGCCCCGATCCACCAGGAACAAGTAATGAAGCACATTTAATTATTTTTCTATCTTGGGATCCTTCACAGCCTTCTAAGGGTTCGAGGGAACTGCTTCTCATCAGGCAATAGGGATTTTGGGGAAACAGCTCACAAGAAAGCAATCCATCCCCTTAAAGATAGGGGAATGTCTGACCCAGTAGTAGGAGGAAGGCAGCTTAGGAACACTTAGCTGGGTCTGCCACCTCCATACATGGAGGCAGGTGCTCCAAAGGGTAACAAATCTTAAAGAAAACAGAGGTGTGTGGGGGGGAATGGGACAGGAGAAAGCTTGGTGCCAGCTGTAATTTCCTCAGTTTTGCACTGTAATTACGAAGCTGGAGCCCTGCCTCCATCTCTGGAGCTGCAGCCCCCCCAGCTGGTGTGAAGGAGCACAGATCCTACAGCATGAAGCAAGCACCTTCTTCACTGTGCCTGGGATCCCAGAGAGCGTGCCTACCTGAACCACTTTGCTGTCACGGGGGAAGGTCAAGCAGGGGGAAAAGAGCCCTTGTAGCCACTTTTCAGCATATCACCATGGGTCACTTGGGACTGACTGCTGTTCCCTGTTTGTATCTCTTCCCTGCTGAGCAGGACTTCTCATTCTGGGCCTATTATTGCTCATCTTCTGCATACTCTTCTTCATCAACCCAACCGCCGAGTCCCAGCCAGCCCCCAGGAACCCCACGGTGGAGGCCTTCCTGTCCCATTTCAACGAGCTGCAGGACAAGTTTCCCGGGCAGAATCCCCAGGTGTGGCTTCGTGGGCGCAAGTTCTTGCAGAAGCACCTCAACACATCCGAGCCCACGCAGCCAGCCACCATCATCCTCACGGCCGCCCGCCAGGGTGAGCGGACCTTGCGGTGCCTTAGCACCCACGTGGCTGATGCCTACTCGGCCGCCCTGCATGCCAGCACGGTGCAGATCGATGGCAGGGACATGTCTGAGCTCCAGAGTGATGAGGCCAAGCTGCAGGTGGACTCAGAGCTCAGTTCAGCTTTCCAGGCTGGGTACCATGCTGCGGTGGTGCACCGCTTCGAGCTGCTGCCGGCAGGGTCCACGCTCATCTTCTACAAGTACTGCGACCACGAAAGTGCTGCTTTCAAGGACGTGGCCCTGCTGCTGACCGTGCTGCTGGAGCAGGAGGAGCTGGAGACCCAGATCAGCCTCTCGAGGGTGGAAGAGAGGGTCCGTGACTTTCTCTGGGCCAAGTTCACCGGTGCCAGGACCCCCAGCTCCTACGACCACGTGGATTCTGACAAGCTGAGTGGGCTGTGGAGCCGCATCTCCCACCTGGTGCTACCAATCCATCCGGTGCAGAACATCGAGAAGGGGGGCTGCCACATCCATACCAAAACCTAGGGACAGAGACTGCCAGAGCCCTGGGAAGGGCTGAAAAGCCAGTCCTGGCCAGCCCCGGTGCAGGCAGAGACACAAATGAACAAGGAACTCACTTCGTAACACCCCCGTGCTATTCCTCTGCAATTTGTTTCCCATTCTTCCTGGGAAGAGTTCAACAGGTACAAATTGATCCTGGCCTTTTGGCCAGCTGACTGTACGCTTCCTTCTGACAGGTGGGAAGAGCTGATATTTTAGACTGCTAGTTGCACAGGAGCACATTACAATGTGGGGAGGCAGGAAGAAAAACAGTGCTTTGCAGGCAGTGGAACAAAGGAAGGTCAAATTCCCTAAACCCGACATTTTGAAGTCATGCTTCAAAAAGAAAATCAGTTTGCTAGTCAAGGGTTTGACCAGTCAGTCCTGATACAGCTCCACTGACCGATTTACAGCCAAAGGCCAGATCCTAAATGCCATCTGGCATTCAAACAAACCTGCAATCCAGAATTCCCCCAAACATCAATTACAAAAAATTTAAATTTGTCAGCACTTAAACACTACATAAAAGCAAGGGAATCCCACACACAGAGCAGCCCTTACGCTGTTCTCAAAACAGAGAACAAAACACAAAGCACTTCATTATCGCTCTGATGGTGCAAAGCCTCAAGGGATCACGCAGGTAAAGGAATGAGTAATAGAATTTAACTTAATGCTACCTCTTAAAAGAGTTCAGTTGTGATCCGTTTGCCACCACAGGGCTACAAGCACCTCTTTGGGCTGATGCATCAGCCTTGGTCCCACATGATTCACCCAGGTATCTGATCTGCACTTAGGGCTGGAAGCCATCAGAGGCATCTCTACGTCACGAGAGGAGCGAGCTGACAAAATGCCCCCTCAAGCCCCTCCACGGCTTTTCCAGGGTAATTCCTCACACACTAGGCCTTGCCCGGGGACCATGTGTTTGCAGCCCAGCAGTTCCCTGGCTTGCTTTCTGCAATTCTGCCTGCCCCTCCCCAGCTAACTTTTATTGATGAATGTAGATGATGACACTGATATTTATTTCAGACCACGTAAGGCAGCACACCGGCTCCTTGCCCACCAAAGGTACGTTTCCCTTCCTGCCAGGCAGGTGGTGCTCTGGCTGCTACTGGCAGAGCTGATACCAACTCGTAAAGACAAAATCTCTGGCATAAACACCAGAAACCCTTAAGCAGGCTGGTTTCTTACCATACCTCCTCTTCTGCACCCCAAGAAGAGAAAGCCAAGTCCTGCAAATGCTGTGGTGGCCCCGCACACTGAATTGCTGCAGGAGTGCTGGGGCAGAGCTGCTAACTCAGGGAGCACCTAGGAGCAGGCACAGGTTGAAGTATTTATAATAACCCAGCAGCCTGCCCCAGGTGTCAGCCCCTCGTGCCTACAATCCTGCCTGCTGGAGCACAGCGTGGCTTCTCTCTGTACAGACAGCACAGACTGAAGCCTTGCCGAGGCCGAGTCTGCATCTGAACAAGACACAAATCGAGAACAGGTTGCTGTTTTTACAAGCAGTGCATCTGAGTTCTCCAGACCCCTGTGTTGGCCGGGTCTCCTGCCCATGGTGCCTTGCTGATCTGCCCAGCTGCTGGCTCAGCTGCTCATGCCAATGCCTGAAATCACAGCCCGTCTCTCCCGTCCTCTGCCACGTGCCTTGTCCTCCCATGGGAGATTTGTGGCCATAAACCTGGAGCAGGGGACAAAAAGAGGGAATAAGCGGGGATTATTTGTTCAAATTGGAACCAAAGAGCAGACATTTCATTTCTTTTGACACCAGTCACAGGAAGACAAGACTTAGGAGGTGTTGCCCACTCTCTCCACACCTGACAGCACTTTATCCACTACCCCAAACTTACTGATGTTTATCTTCATTGGAGACAGGGAGCTGAGTTACCCCTGCAGTGTTAGCTGTGGGTTAGACATGAAGTGTCCCTTTGCAGTAGTTTTAACCATGCCAAACAGCAGGCTAGACATGCTGGAGCCCAGCATCAGCAGACCAGCCTCAGGGCTTGATTTTGTACAAGATACCGGTTGCTTCCTCCCCTTCCTCTTTTTTTTTTTTTTTTTTTCCACTGTTATCCACTACTTTGGTAACAGAAAACAGTTTCTGCTCTGCATGGTTCAGCATTGGCACTGATGTAAGAACTGGCAAAGCATTAATCATGTTATTGTTATAGTATTTTAAAGTTAACTCACTACCAGTTTTATCTACTGTGTGTATAATGCATACTCAAGGCAACTTCGTGCTGCTTGGGCACCTCGCTGTAAGCATCATCCAGCAAAGCTGCTCTAATACAGATATATTTTTATGACCTTTTAAAGATAAAAAAAAAATATCTGCTTGCTTCTGAAACAAGATTTCTATTTAAAAATAAATGAGATTGTGAAAGAAACCAGCAAAGTCTTCAAATTGAGATGTAGCCTTACTGTATTCTGTTCTTTTCTCTAGCTATTTTCAGTTCACTAAGCAAAAGAGCTCATCATATTGGACAAAGTTTTATTTAGGTCAGGGCTGTAATTGTGCAAACAAAGTGAATACTTGCTTTTCCTGGAAGAACCCTAAACAACCTTTTTCTCAGTAGTTTGGGACAAACATCCATAGCTTCTTCAGCTAAGCCCAAAACTGAAACCCCACAAACTGCTTTGGAGAGACCCAGCTGCAAAGTGCAATCCCAACTGAAACATACTGAAGTTTACATAATAATTAATGATAATAATTAAACTGAAGCCCACTGACAACTGAGAAAGTTTAGACAGCAAATATATCTCATTTCAACACCCTTCCACTGTACTCGTGGTGGAAAAAAAAGTCTGTTCCACGCAATTTCACAACACCTCAGCACACCCAAATTTTAACATTTATGCAGAATTATTTTGCCTGGCTCCGGTTTAAACAGAGGGAGCTTTTTTCAGTCTCGCCTCTGAATTCAGAAGTCACCCAAACAGAGCAGCCAAATGCTTTCCAAGAGCAGCTCTATCTGGAAGGGTGCATTGTTTTGGGATGTTTTTCCCCCCCCGGATGTCATGCTCATCCTGATGTGTGATGGTAAACAGCACGATCATCCTTGCACCTGATGCAAGGAAAGGCTGAAATGAGACATGGTCCTGCTCTGCACCCTTCCAGGTAAAACAATTTATTCTTCCCTGGTACCACACCTCCCTGTGCCAAGAGCATCATATCTCCCCAAACACTCATCATCCATCCCGGAGCACATCTCCCTGCATGCATGCACACTGCTCAAGCACTGCAAGGGGTTTGGGCTGATTTTTTCATTCCTAATCTACGAAAGAATGAATAAATCATTTTCCTATTAGGCCTACTAAAGAAAATGCACCACCACTCCCCTACACTATCTCTATTTTATTTTTATATCCTGTCACTAACAGAAATGGTCGACCAGGAAGAAAAAAAAAAAAAAAAGACAAATTCCTGAACGAGTCTTTCCTCCTTTCATGATGGAAATCGCATTTGGATGTCCTTTGGTCATGGTGACACCAAAATCGGCCAATGTGTTGGTAAAGACACAGCTGTGATACACACAAAATTACCTGCCACAATTGTTTGTGCCAAGAGAGGAGCTTGAGGTTGCAGGACACCGTGATCTCCAAGGTGAGAGGTACTGGATCCCTGCACTGAGCTGAAGCAGGATGCAGTGTTTTTGAAGGGAAGCAGGGGAGGGAGGAAGCTCCCCCTGCAGCTCTAATTCTGCAGGGAACGATGTGCTGCAACAAGGGGCTCAGCAAACCTAAAAATTACCTTGACTATTACACAACTGCTCAGCTTAGGGGCAAAACCACTTCTGGAAGGCCAGGCTGGACTGCTCCGCCACAGCATTAGCGCTGATTACACGTGTGAGTGTGCTGCTGCCATAACCATATCATCCCCCGTGTTTAAAGGCCCCTGCTCTGCCTGCAGCATCCCAGCCCTGAGACAGGCATGCCCTGCCACATATTTTTTCACCCCTCTGCACCAGCACGGACCGAAGCTGGAAGAAGGATGAGGGGTGATGGGCAGCGACCTCGGCTCTCCCAGTGCTCCCAGCACAGGGAAGGGGCAAAGCACCGAGGAGCCCCTTGCTGGCCTCTCCCTGCCGTTAGCATCTTGCTCCGAGGAGAAGGCTCTGCAGATCCCTGGCGAGGGCACTCGAGAGCTGATAATCCTCAGGGCCAAAGCACAGGCAGCAGCATGCTTCAAAATGGGAGGTGGAAACAGCCTCCCCTCCTTGGAGGCCTGCTTCTTGCTCTGCCCCAGCAACCCAGGACCACCCAGCTGCCTCCAAGAAATAGTTTCAGAACATGGCACTCGGCCTTTTTCCACATTTTCAGATTAAGCTGAATGAAGCCACTCTTTTCTTTGTGCTGAAGGGGATGAACTCCTGGAGCTGCAGAAGGAAGGACTCCCCCCATTTCCATAGTCAGAGCTTGTCTGCGGAGAGGAGCCTTGGGCCACACAGGTTCCTTCTCAAAGGAAGAACAAAGCCCTGCTTGGGGGCAAGGAAGGGGCATCAGTGCTGGGGCAAGCACCAGGTACAGCCAGGCAAATTGCTGGAACCGTGTGGCCAGTGGGACAGCCCACAAGCCCAGCACAACATCCTGCACATCAGGATGTTGCAGAAAAGCAGGAAAGACTGCTGTCAAAGCCAGGCTCCCTCCAGCTGCTTGGTCAATGGGACACGAATGTCTGAGGGCAGGGAAGAAAACACACACAGAAACAAAGGGGTGTCCAAAGACTTTTACACTCCAGACCGAAGCCTTGCATGCATTCGTCTAAACACTCAGCTTCTATAATTAATGAACATAAGGCTGAAATCCTAGGCAACTCCCAGAAGGCAAGGGATGAGGGCAAATCAGTCCCCTGCAAGCAGCCTACGCATCTGAAGATGTCTGGCACCTACAACGAAATATGGGGAAAAGCCACTCGTGGCAGGGCTGTCACGTAGGGAATGTAAAACCAGAAAGGGCTGCTGCACGTGCAGAGGTCAGGCTGCTCACACGTAGCGGGGCTGCATGTAATACAGCCCACAGCAGAACCAGTCAGCACAGTCACCGAGTGGCAACTTTACAGACTAAATAAGACAGCACGAAAAAAATAATCAGTAGAGGAGGGTTACAAACACGCAACCAGACGTTGGTTTTGGTAGCTAGTGATGGTTTTATTGGCAAGCATTTAAATGTATTAATCTGTTTAATGGTATCATCAAATCCTTCCCTACAATAATTATCTGGAGGGTCCCAGGACCGTGGGGGAACCTTTACATTCCACACCCTTGCTTCCACATTGACTGAGAGTATTCAAAATCTTCCACAAACATTAAGAAAACAACCACACTGCTTAAAACTCAGGACCTAAAACTGCAAGCAGCCTTTTAACTCCATCTAGCTGCATTACACATTACATTTGCCTCACCCCTGTGACCAGAAGAGGCTCAGGAGATGCACGTCTGGGATGAGAGCAGGACTAGTGAGAAAGGTCAGGCCAGGCACTGAGGGGCCCTGCAGGGGAGAGCACTGCAGTTCACCTGGATTTGCCCTGTCATGCTCTGGTAGTGCCTCACATGCAATCCCCCCTCCCCAAATCCTCTCTGCACCATATGTTACTCAACAGCCTGCTGCTGCCTCCTGCCCTTCCTGGGGCTGCAGCTCAGCAGCTGGTGGTGAGGGGCTGAAGATCAGCCACAGCACAGCTTGTGTGAGAGCAGCACAGCACCCAGCAAGCTCATGCAGCCGGAGCTGGCCTCCCTTTCCTTCTTACCCACAGCCTCTCCCCCACCTCTGCACCTCCAAAGGGCTCTGCTTATCTTCAGGGCAGGAGCTGCCTCACGAGGAGGATTATACAGGCCTGCAGCAGGGCACAAAACCCAAGAATCGACTCAAGCTTTAGCGGAAGGCAGCTCACGGAGAAACTACATTATTTCACAACTCCTCTCCCTTGTTTTCTGTGGGATGGGTCAGTAGCGGGTTGCCCTCCTCCTCCCTTTGCCCCCCGCCTGCTGGCAGATGGCTTTGATCAGGAGCCCCGCGTTGCTCCCCCCTGCTGCCACCCCTCCATCCTTCCTCTCCCCTACCGAGAGGCCGAAGCCCTGGGTGGGGGAGAGGCGTGGAGGCCTCGCATCACCTTCCCACTGCAGGGGGATCCAGCAGGGAGCGGGGAAGGTGCCAGGAAGCTTTTTAAGCTGTTTCCTTCCTTTTTGAATTCGCACAGTTGACTAGCTCAGCACATCAGCCCAAGAGCAGTGCCTGGAAGACTGGGATCAACAGAGTCCTTTAGTCTGGGATGCCCCAGGTTGCTTATGGGGGCTTCACTGCTTCCTCCAGGGCCTCGTGCAGCGCAAGCAGGATGCGGCGGGCTCGTCCTGTCACTGCTGACAGGGAGCTGGAGGGGAAAAAGCAGCGAGCGAGGCGGCGAGCCTCGTGTCCTCCCATGAACCACGACCCGCTCCGTTTGCCATATACACCCCGCAGCTCTCCCTCCCGCTGAGACAGCGAAGCCCAAAGCCAGGCGATCGCCTAGCGAGCAGCATCTCCCCCAGCTTTTCGGGATAAAACACCAAAAAGCAGCCCCGGGCCGGGGCCGCCCCCCTCCACCTTCCCCCGGCGCCTTCCCCTCAGGAGGCCGGCGGCGGGGCGGGACGGGGCTGGGGCTGAGCCCCGGGGCTGCCCGGCCCCGCCGTGCCCCGCTCCCCGCCCCCGGCGGCTCCGAGCGCCGTCTCCCCCCCTTCATCCCTCCCTCCCCCGGCGGCTGCGGGCCGCTGCCGGCCGCCCGGCAGGTTGTAAAGTCATTAAGCCCCTCAGCCATGCCGGCCCGCGCCCCGGCGGCTCCTGCCACGGCCGCTGGTGGGCCGCCACCGCGCCGCCTCCTCCGCGGCAGCAGCAGCAGCAGCGCGGCATGGCCGCCGCTCCCCGCCGCCTCCTCCTCCTCCTCCTCCTCCTCCTCCTCCTCCTCCTCCTTCTCCTCAGCGCCGCCGCCCCCCTCGGCGCTAAGGTAAGCGGCGGCGGAGCCTCCCCCCCTGCTCGCCCCTCGCCCTTCCCCTCAGCCTCCTCCGCCAACACAAAAGGCCGGCGGGGCGAGAGGGGGGTCCCCGGGGGGCTGCGGGGCCTCGCCGCTCGCCTGGGTGCCGGGCGGGGAGGTGACAGCCGGGTGGGGATGGAAAAAAGGGGGGTCTGTGCTTTGAGACCCCCGTGGGGGCACCTTGATCCCCCGAGGTGCATGTGCGGGAGCCGGAGCCTGGTGCTCCCCTTGTCCCTGGTGTCAGAGCAGCACTGAGAGCCCGCAGCGAGACCTTTCCCTTTCCCCTTACCCCTTTCTCCTTACCCCTTTCCCCTAACCCCTTTCCTCTTCCCCTTCCTTCCCCTGTGGCCAGACCACCCTTCACAGGGTGCTGGCCGAGCCTCCTGCTTGCAGGGGTCACCACAC